TCTTTTCGATAACCTGCTCTTCATTAGGTTCTACAGTTATATATACATAATAGTAGTGAATGAATTAGTATTATTAACAACATTAATGCTGTTTAAATTACATCGATACTGATTAGTAGCCATTCTTTTGAAATTTTTAATCGGCATTTTTATTCAGTTAAAAGTTAGAATTCATCGACCACCAAATTCCAGCTCAAGAGGGTGAATGGTCACCGGAATCGGTCTCGCAACCTCAATGTCCCGGGTTCGATCCCTGATCATGACTTGGTGAGCACCACTGAAGAGGCCCTAGGTAGTAAAAAACAGACGTCTGGTTCTCCCTGGTTTTCAACGGTGCCCTAACTGATATCAATCAGTCATCAAACTTGAAACCAATCAAATTTCCACAATTTAACACTTGAAAGTATTTATTATTATCCATAATAAAAAAGTAGTTTTATTTTAAAGAAAGACATCTAAACGCTGCTTTTCCTATCTTGTTCTATCTCCCAGTATCGATTTACTTCAGTTTAAGTGTTACACACATACCAGATCACTTTGACCCAGGCAGCAATATAAGCTTGGCATATCGATGTGAAAAAAATAATAACAAATGGATATTGAACAACAATAAAGTCAGAGAGCTAATGGGTTGTAACGCACTATTTATTAATCAAACTAAAAAAAATAACTAAATGGAACAAGTAAACAAAAATTCACTAATAATATTGACGACAATCTATCCTCCTGATTTATTTTACAAGAATAGGGTCACTGGACATACATACATACATATTATCTATGTATAAGAATGTGTCCGGTAAGGACAGACACATATGCAATGGGATAAAAATTGAAGTATATAATGAATGTGATTAAAAGCGACTGTCGTCCTGATTCCTTTTAAGCGTGCATTAAGAAGAAGCATGCCATTGAATTGAAAGGACAGATGTCTATCACTGGACAGATTTACTCTCTTCCTCCCTTTCTCTTTCTCTCTCTCTCTCTCTCTCTCTCTCTCTCTCTCTCTATATATATATATATATATATATATATATATATATATATCTTAAAACTATAAGAATGATTTCACACTTTGATATAGACACTGCTGCGGGGAATACATAAGGTGGCGCAGCTGTTATAATGGTAGAATTTCGCACCTGATTCTTTTTACTTTATGTGTAATCCACCATATATAATCATAATATTTCAGGAGAAATGTCGCTACGGTAACAAAACGAAAAAGTCTTCTACACTACACCTAACCAACCATCACGATATTTGAATATCGTACTAGTGACTTTTCAGCTGGTACAACAACACGGCAGTGTTGTGTGCTCATCTTTAGTTAGTTGAAATACAAAAAGTGAAAATCACAGTTTCACAAACACTACATGCAATAAGTTTATAGGTCATTCTGAAAAGTTATTCTAAAATAAAGTGGTTTAAAAGTTCTCAGAAAATGTAACGCCTATTTTGAGATGAACAAATAACTAAAATACAAGTTTTCTGTGAACCGAATGAAAAGTGGTTTTAGTGGATATGGGAGATCACAAAGAGTAAATGCATCTGCGCCGCTAAAATGACTTTAAGGCATGACACCGATAGTCTAAAGCCATTGATCCTTAGCATTCCCAGGACCTCAACCAGGCAGTTAATACTTCCCTACGTGGTTAGTTCAAAACACCTGGCAAAGACTTCATCGAATGATAAAACGTTTTGGTTTAACCACCCCTAGCCTTTTTCCAACCTAATCCTATGTCACATAATATCGCCCGTGGTAGTTCAGCATGCCCAACATGTGTTCCGGCTATCTCAACCAATGTAGCTTCGCAACCTGGTCGATTGCCTTACTCTCCTTATCTAACACTATACGCCTAACCTCAATATCGATCACCATAGTAGGCTACTTAACACGGAAGATAGAACACATATATATACAGTCAAAGACAGCTAGCCTTTTCATATCTTCCGCACATAGATAGAAGTGGGGTGGAAATGCACTTCATTCTTATTATCAATTAAAGTTTAACTAAGCATCACATCATAACAAAATAAAACTTTGTGAACCAAAAAGCTTGGACTAATTTTATTTAACGAAAAAAATCAGACATACATATTTCACATTTAAATGTGAAATGGCTGATTTAATTATGTATTACAGTGAGACACTAATGAATTCCTAAATATCTGCCCACGCAGTATACATGTACTGATATATAAACCACTGAACTGCCTGCATAATACATGAATTGAAGTTTACATGTTTACACTGAAAACATCAATGTGATTAATATCTTCAGCTTTTAACCATAAATAACAGTTAAGACTTATATTTCCTATTTAGAATAAGCATTTTTTGTGAAAATACTGATAACATGATGAAGAGGAGGCATAAATGCATCTCCTCTGCATCAGGGTAGACCTCTATTCAGTCGTCTGTCCCCAACGTCATTGTGGCCAAATTGTGGCCTGAGTTCTAATCAGTCAAACATCGTTACTTATCCTTCCTCATACCAATTGACTGAATGAGTTTTCAATATAGAACTTTGCACAGAATTGCAGCAGTTTAAGTTGGTGCACTCCATTTAGCACATCAGGACAGAGAAAAAATAAGCAAAGGAACCACAATGTGAACGGAAGAAAGAATCGTTAGATGGGGGTCATTAGGATTTTATCAGAGAGGTAATTAAAGCACTGATCTTCTCAGAAATCTTTTTACAACTCGTTTCCCTGATCAATCTGATGTTGGTACCCACCACCTTTTGTCGACCAACACTGTTCATAGTCGTTGGGTAAACTTCTGATTAGCCTGCATTGGAGCAGCCTTCATTCCTCATCGTGTTCGGAGACCATTGAAATCAGTCTCTCCTTATGTTTGCAGTTAGCGCTAATGAAGAGCAGATGATTACCTGAATAAAGCTGTAAAAGTTGGCTGACACCCATAAGCTGAAATTTGTAGATTCACCCTGTTGGCCAGATCGGGTTAAGTGCATGTCTCAAAAACGCAACATATATACATACATAGTAGCGTGGTGGAGTCACTATTAATAGTCGAAGAGTTAAGAGAATGTTATGGACTTATTTGTGGAATAGTATTAACAGTCACAAGAAAGCAAGAAGATGAAGGTGAATGATAACAAGTTTTCTTGGTTGGATACTAGTTAGTAACTAGTATCATGTTATGTAGTCCACTTTTCAGTACAGACTGAAGTCTATCAGTCAAGTATGTACGTGTTCTTATGAACATGTATGGACAGTCATTGTTTCCCAGTTGACCACACCGTGGAAGTTAATTACTGCTGCGTGACTGCAGAGCTCAAGGGAGATGTACCTGAGTCCCGCAACACACGACCTATTTGAGTAAGTTTTGCACTTGCATCCGTATGCAGATCTTTTTCTAGGCTACAGATCGCCGCAAGGTGCGTGGATATGTACAATTTTCGCAGTCGACTTTTTCTAACCCTCTCCCCAACCTCAGAGCGTAGTGGCAGCATAGCTGATTTGCTGGTCATCCAACGGAAACACCTTACTGATGTCACATTATTATCAGCCAGAAGTACAACTTTACCTTCACAGCCCAAACAAAATGTGAGCGACTTAAAACAATATGATGGTAACTGCTTTTAGTCTAATCACTATCCAAACGACCTTTCTAACCTGGTAGGACCTGCACGAACATTCGTTTAAGTCAGTATAGGCCAATGGGTCATAGTGACTACCACGTCAAGGTAGTCGCTACCAGTAAATATACTAACATCACATCGAGGCCTTTATTGGTAAGTTCTCAAGAAACCTGCAAGGCTAATGTTTAACATAGTAAATACCAAAATCTACCTGAAGACAATAAAATGGAATACAATAAGCGAATAATTAACGTCAACTAACAGACTAGTATCAACCAAGAAATGGTGGAAAGACGTTTTGTGAGTTTGAAATTTTCCGAAGGTACTCACCAGTGATCTGCTTCAAAATCGAATGTGTGACCATTAAGGTTAAAATTACAGGTCAGAAACTGATCAGAATTCAACAACCTATGACTTCAAATTTGTGTATATATCACCCTTTCCACCAGATTCTACAATACAAAACTTAAAATATACTGAATTAACTGAGCCAAAATATATTTAATACTGTCGTTCATAGGCTTTAAAAGTCGAATACATCAGAGATGTATGATGCATGACACTTATGTGCATAACATACGTGTGAAACTAAGGAAGTAAATACTTACAGTCAACATTGATAGGTAAAAAAAGTTCGTATGCATTAGTATTACAAATAAGTCTGCCGACAAACAGTGATACTATCCCAAAAAGACTAATGAAAGAATAGTTGATAATTCCGTAAACTGATGCCCATTTTATTAATCATAATCACTGATAAAATAGCGATGCTTAATTATTACAAGGCGGCTGATCATGGATTGACTGACATCAGTTAGAGAACCACTGGAAACCAGGAAAAAAGAATTGGACAGGTGATTCGTCCTTGTTTTGGGACTCTTCATCAGTACATATCCATGGACCCAATCCCTCAACAGTGATCGAACCCGGTACACTCAGGTTACACGGCAAGCTTATAAACTATTCAGCCACTGGCCAATCCATCAACTCTAATCTCTGCCAATTGGCTCAATTACTATTAATTGTCGGGTGAAAAGTGATTCATTCAATTGTAGGGAGTTCTAAAACTTTCTGTTTAATTAAATGAAGGCAGTTAAAGAAACTAACAATTAATCATAAGTAAGAATTCAATAAGTACACAGTATAATTGACAATGAGAAACTAATTAACAAGAGAAATTATGCATGCTGACATTTTACAACACCATAATGAGTTTATGTTAAAACATACACACACCGACACGCGAACCCAAATCACAATTTAATGCAGGTGAAAAATGGAAACAGAGTAAAACTGAAAACTTAGAATGAGATCTATGACAACAGAAAGAAAAGTTATGCCTACAGAAGACATAACATTTCAAACAGATTGCAACGGAAATTTTAAACTCACTTTGGCAGTCATATCTTTTGAATAGCCTTTCGGTCTAAAAAATAATTAAGGAAGACATCAGTGAGACAGAGAGAGATACAGAGAGAGAAAAAAAACTGGTAAAACAGGAATTGAAAAATCTTCATCATTTAAAAATTTAAAAAACTGTGAGAAAGCATGTGTATAATGATAAGCATAAAAAGTTTTGATTATTTAAAGCCGAAACGAAGCCGTAAAGTATGTATTTTTTTTCTGATATATGCAGGTGTAGACCAAAGACACACGAAGATACATACACAGTGAATAAATTACACTTGAGAAATATGCTGCCCGCATCATGTCAAGTAATATGGAATTTTAAAAGACTGAGTTTAGTGAACAAAGAAAATATTCTTTTCGATACCTTCATCTTCAGATTCTACAGTTATATCCATCCATAATAGTCAAAGACTTATCATTATTATTATTATCAACATAAATGTTTTTTTAGATCATACAAAAACCAGTAAGATCCATAGATTACAGTTCGAAGGCAACTGGAAGTGACAATACGCATAAATGTAACACTAAAATGAATACCAGATAAAATAAGATGATTAATACAGCAGCTAGCCAGGGCAGTAATAGTGGCTCGACCAGTTTCTATAACACCAAGAGCTAGAGTATTTTAATCAAATTATACTGATGTCTGCACCTTGAAGAATTCGGTATCCAGAAGCTTTCCGCAATTTATGTAATATCCGACATACGACATAAAAGATTCTTCACTGCCAGCCTAATGATATGTTTAGACAGCGTTCCCAAATCAAACTCTTCACACTTTTTCTTACACTTCCATTTAACCATACTGCAAGGTACTTCCAGATCAAGAAAAATTTTCTTCCTAAAGCAACGTCTCGCATAAAGTCTCCTCACAGCACCAACTGAACTGATAAAAACGACTGAACGTGACTCGTCAAAGAACTTCATCTTTCACTTTTCCAATAACGACCAGTCCTCTGCAAAATGCCAATGTCGAGATTTTACAAAAATGTCCAGTGTTCTTATAGTTTTTCTGTGTTCTGTTTTATGCTCCAGTCCTTTTCCCAAATGAGACAACTTGAACTGGTGCTCTTTGTTTTACATTGTTAAGTCAGTCCATAAGATTCACGAATTCAGTCTCTCTGGTCTAGAGTCTTGAGTCGTAATTACTGGGTTACATGTTTGAACAATTTGGTGTCCAGTTTCTTCTTGTATGTTGGAATTCTGCCAAATGATCGTCTAAGTATGTCACACTCAGCTTTATGATGACAGTGGCTAGCCAGACCAGATGTAGTATTTTATCTTTCTACCTGGTGTTCGTCTCCTATGTTTAGGAAAAATAACACTATAATCTGTACATTTAAATAGTGATTGAGGAAAAATTTATCTTCGCTTTGGCGGCTCATTGTTGTCAGTCAGTCAGTCACATTGATGATGACCATGGATAAAATATAAATAGACTGTTTCTAGTTGCTGCTATTTCATTCAGATATGCACCCAACTAGACCTGGTATACGCATGGTTACAACTGACACTATTTAGACAAAACAAAAAAAGATGTCCAACAACTAGATATTTTCCATGCTGCATACAGAAATTTACTTGGTTTCAAATTCTGAATTTGAAATATGCGACCTGTAATGTAGGCATTTAGACATGTTCTCATCGTAAATGCTACATAAGTTTTCTCTCACTAGTTCTTATGAAAACATGATGAGAAAGTCAGTGAATTCGGAGATCAATACAAACTTCCAAATTTTTATTCGAAGAAAATTCTTGTTGAACCCGTAGCATTCTATATTCTATATCCTTAGTTTAAATGCTTTCAATTATCCTACAAATAACTTTTTTGTGGGTTAACATGAGTGAAACGGGATCACACATTATTAACAATCATCCGAAGTGCAGACAGCGGCGGACAGCATACAGCTTATGCACCGTAGAGGACTACTATTGAATACGTCAAGAAGACTTGTTCAAAAGTCAGGTGTGTCACTTTCAATTTCGTATTGTAGAAAGCAGGATTATATAGGGTAAGAGTAGACAATAGACACCCAAGGTCAAACGACCTTGATTTAACCAATCAGATTCTTCTAGGTGAAAAGTGGTACTTAATTTACAAAGAAGTGTACCTACGATGTATATGTAATTAAAATGAATCATATAGGGTATATATCTCTAATATGCTGCAAAAATTGGTCCCAGATTCTCATTAGAAGTGGTTACAGACATATTAAACCAATGTATTCTCTATTTCTCCAGCTGTAACAAATACTGGTTGCATATACGCAATATGTTGTGCATCGGTGACATAGCGGTTAGGACACTCGCCGACCATGCACATGGTCCGGGGTTCGATTCCCGGCCGATGCACACCTGATACCAATGGTCGGCGTGCTAAATTTGGGCTACCGATATCACATGCTGGAAATTCCATGCTTTTTTTTTCCTTCACGTTCCCCAGTGGAACATAGGGCTTCAAGCTAGTGGCTTGAAGCTTCTGTGGCAGTGTTTATTATAAAGGATGGGTTGCTAGCCTCATGCCTAACCTTTCCTCTCCACCAGCATTATTTCTGGCTTAGCGAGGTAAAGGATGCGCATCAAAAATACTGTGTGGAGTCAAGCTACAATAAAAAAATAATAATGGGATGAATAAATATAACGGGGTTATTATCACCACTGCAGCCTCGTCTCACGGTGTAAAATAATTTCGAAAATTTTGAGTTCTATTGCATATTTGTTTCATTCAGTTTAGTTCAATTAGAGCGTTCCTCAACAGTGTAGGCAATTAACCATTTCACTCTACTGTTTGAGGTCATGGTAAATGCGTTAACTATTCTTAGTAGTACGAGTATCTCAGATCATCTCACTTACTATATGAGAAGTGTAAAATTACTTATGCAGTGATTTTTTTGTCGTTGAGGCGATAGGCTTGATTCAGAGAAATTTCTATTTATGTAGTGATGTAGAAATTGAGGTGAACAATGGTCATTCCAGTCGTTTCTAGGCTTTCTGTTCCCTCTTTCTTTTCCCACTTGCTCATATGCTACAAATGACCTAATCAATAATTAGATATGGAAAATTATTCGCCAATATAGTAATTGTGTATGTGTATGAATAGTATTCGATAGACATACACATATATAAAATGAACTTATTTTCTCTTCCTTTGTATGCATATATTTCTTTTCATTTTTCCTGGTTATTGTGTTGGGAAATCCACTATGAAAATTCAATTAAGGATGTAGGCGGCGGCTGTCAGTCAATAATATTTAACTGATTTATCTTTCAAAATATAGATATACTATGCTTACAAAACTATAAGGATCAACTATTAAATTTATTTGTATTCGTTTGTTTGCTTGCTTAGTGCTTATCTACAAAGTGACGTATCACATGAAGAAGATAATCACTGCTTGCCATTGGGTTTGTTTTTAATGCAAAGTCGATTGTAGAACTGCCTGATGGTTTGCATGGCGTCATAATTACATCTTGGCGGATAGTCTGGTCGGCATCCCATTGTAGCATGAGTGAGTGAGTGAATTAAGCCTAACTGCCTCCCGAGGATTTTAACCATCTTAGTCAAGCGTAATAAACTTAATTACAGGTCGCATATTTCAAATTCAGAATTTGAAACCAAGTAAATTTCTGTATGCAGCATGGAAAATATCTAGTTGTTGGACATCTTTTTTTGTTTTGTCTAAATAGTGTCAGTTGTAACCATGCGTATACCAGGTCTAGTTGGGTGCATATCTGAATGAAATAGCAGCAACTAGAAACAGTCTATTTATATTTTATCCATGGTCATCATCAATGTGACTGACTGACTGACAACAATGAGCCGCCAAAGCGAATATAAATTTTTCCTCAATCACTATTTAAATGTACAGATTATAGTGTTATTTTTCCTAAACATAGGAGACGAACACCAGGTAGAAAGATAAAATACTACATCTGGTCTGGCTAGCCACTGTCATCATAAAGCTGAGTGTGACATACTTAGACGATCATGTGGCAGAATTCCAACATACAAGAAGAAACCGGACACCAAATTGTTCAAACATGTAACCCAGTAATTACGACTCAAGACTCTAGACCAGAGAGACTGAATTCGTGAATCTTATGGACTGACTTAACAATGTAAAACAAAGAGCACCAGTTCAAGTTGTCTCATTTGGGAAAAGGACTGGAGCATAAAACAGAACACAGAAAAACTATAAGAACACTGGACATTTTTGTAAAATCTCGACAGTGATGAAGAGAGAATACACCTGTCCTCTTGTGAACGAGTTTGAGATAGGTTACAAAGGGATTTTAATCAACAGTTCTTCTTAAAAGGTGTGCCTTTTGTTGACCTTCTTCATCAAATTAGGAAGGGAAAAACGTCGATCTTATCTTTCGTCTGCAGTACAACTTCACCCTGAGATCCTCAACCTGATCTAAACAACTTGTACTGTGAAGGCAATCGTGCTTAGTCTATCACTGTCCTACCGGTGTTTTTCGTATGATAAATCCTGAAGGAAAAATCGTACCCCACTGCACTCAATATAACTCATTAGATAATTGAGACATGTAACTGTGGACCAAGAAGAAAAGAACATCTTCTTCTGCAAATAGTTTCTCCTCACCGGAATGTATTTTTGCACTTATCTTATTGTTTTTCAATTGCCAAAATGATAATCTTTAACTTGAAAAGTTATCACAAGCAATCATCCTCAGTAACGAATATTTAAAATTATAACGAGAAATCAGTTAAACGGTTTGAGTTAGAGAATTAGGCGTTCGAAAAATAATGTCACGCAATACACTATAATATCATAACCACGATGATATCTGACGATATACACAGAATAAAGGTATGTTAATCTATCACTTCTCCGTAAAATAAAACTAACTTTTACAACCCGGTATTTTTTCAACGCTGCTAATGAACTCGACTCTTGCAACAGAGAGTCAAATTTATACTTTACTTCAAGCATTTTTGCTGGCTTACACTACTGACCGATTAATATTTCGTCTGATAATCCTATATACAAGCAGCGGATAATTTGAAATAAAACGTTAAAAACTGTGTACTCTATTTTGTCCAGGACAATGTCATCAGTATATCAGCATACAGAGAATTCTGTCTCACGACCCTAATTCATATTTGTGTAGACTGTCTGACTTGGATCCGTGAGAAAATTAAAATTAATGGTTACGGGCTCTACATAATATAACTGAGAACCGATTACAGAGGTGCAGAAGCATTCAAATATTATTTTAATTATAATAATTTTACATTTCGCCCTTCTCCTCTGGTCTCACAACATTCTAAAAGTCCTGTTCCCTATCTTCCCACGGTAGAGGTGTCCCTCACAAAAGAGAAAGGACGAATGCAAACGTCTGAGCCCACAACCGGTCTGGTGGTGTACGTGGGCTCCAGAATCTGAAGGGATTAATTTACGTACCAACCTATTTTGGTCACCGGCAGCTTTAAGAACGCAGCTCCACTGGCTTGTGGATCGAGCAAAGAGTTGGGTCTCTTGCCCTAACCCTAACCACCTGCTTCGGACTGGGTGTCCAAGTAATTTTTCAGCCCCCCAACAAAGTATACGGTTTTGAGTGACGCATCTCTTGGTGCCTATAATGTAGCAAGTTTGTGATTTAACGAGACGGAAGTAAGATAACAGCCAGTTAAATGTAAGTAAGTGACAAATACTACATATTTGAAAAGAAACCTGGAAATGTCTTCAGAATGTAAAGAAAAATGTGATAGCTATTGCCTCTAATCATAACAAAGAAGATTCGTAGCTGAAAAAGGCGGATGGAAGCCGTTTGTTCATTAAAGAATTTAATGCTGAAGACTGGTGGTGAAGTATCTACGATCAAATGCCAGAATTTGGAGATCATAAAACAATCTCCACTGTGTTCGATCCTCTTCATTGCGTCCGTTTTTCGTGATATGTAGATACAATGTATGGCATCTTGGACAGCCAGGTATTTTCCCTAGATCTTAATACTTAGACCATATCTGTGTGTATTATACTGAACACAATTAGAAAGTAGTAAAAACCATTTAACCATAACCAAACTGTCAAATATGACTTGACAGATTTACTAAAAACAAAGTCCATTAGTTCAGCTTATCACACCTCAGAAAGCCATGCATTAAGAACAGAAAATAGAAATGTAATGATGATAATGGTGATGACGATGATCAGTGATGAATACATCTACTTCATTGCGAATGATTTTAAGTCATATCACCAACGGTTTCCAATCATTGATTAGATAAGGATAGTCTATTAGTGAATATGTTGCACAATCAGTTTTAATACTATTGACATTCAGACAACAGACTACCACCGTGAATTAGGCCCCACCTACTTTATTGGGTTCAGGCTGCTGCAGAATCTCATCAGTAACTGTCTTCGCTCGATACTCATGAAAAGATGACTGGCCACAATTAACTCTGGAAACGAAACAACCAATAACCTATCGTTCAACAAATATTCAGAAGGAAATAAGGATGGATTTGACATACACTGAGGAGACCATTGAGTGACATCGCAAATCAGAAAGATCCTTGAACTCAACGCGAATAGGAAATGACAAATTGGGTGTGTGTCCGAGAGTGACATGGGGAAGATCGTGTGAGGAGATGAGAGCTTTAGGGTAATCGTGGAGGTAGCCGAGAACTGAAAACAAGAGAGTGAAATGGAGATATGCTGTTAAAGTTCCATGTTCCACTAGGAACCCAATGGAATAATACTAATAATATACCTCAGGTGATTCACACACATAGTATCATAATCACACACTAAGTATGGCTCCTAGATCAGAAAATTAAAGTATGCAGAAGCTAGTTGAGTAAATTAAATTAAATAGGTCATTGAATATGGGTAAGGAGAGAGAGTGACTATAAGATACAAATCTAGACTTGGCGAAAACACCAAAAACACAATAAATACATCTTGAATTAGTAAGATTCTGTACAGTTACCATATTTGTCCCGAAGTATGTAGAGAGTATAAATGATTAAAAATCTTTCACAGCCGAACGTTAACAAAATATGATTAAATCTGAGATAATAATACACTAAGGAACCAGCATTGAGTGTCATTGGGGTCCTTGAAATACTAAGAACCAACGTCTGGAGACCATCGATAATATAACTCAGAACTGTTCTGAATAAGGCAGATGTGTTCACTCTTTGTAATCTCTCAAATCCAGTAAAGCCCGATGTTTTTCCATGTGACTATTTTTTCCTGTGCAATTCTGTTCATTATAGTTCTTTTGAATCCCGTTTTGCTTTCTTTTTTCTCTACCTTTGTTTGCTATGAGGAGTACGATAAGTTGAACAGCTGCACTTTTGTGCAAAGTTCGATGTTGACACTCAGTCGGTCAATTATACTGGTTGAACAAATACAGATTTTTTATATACCTAGCTATGAACCACACTTGGTATGCATGTATGTGTGTGTGTGTGTCTATTCAGTTATTAGGTTGTATTCAATCTTTCAGGTCAATATAAACAGGATATATATATATATATATATATATATATATATATAAGTGTAGGGATTAATAGCCAATGAGAGAGAAATGTTTACAAATAGTGTATTCAAACAACAAAAGCAGATGAACGAATACCTAAGTTCAAAATGTTCGCAATTTAAGTCAGTGATCTGCAGCATTTGGCTCTTTTTAGCCAAAGAACTACAGTGCGAAAACAATCCTGCAGGAAAAAAGGCATGACACTGTCTACACAGGCCCTTCAAGATATTGGTCAAATAAATCTGGAGTAACGCATACAGTGAGATTGTAGAAAACATCACCATTTTATGTTAATTGAAGGATGGTAACTAACAGTGGGTTTCAGGATGCGCATCGAGTCCTATTCAGGACTCATCACCTGAATGTACCTGCACTCATTCCGCTCACTGCGTATTAGTGTTCCCACTGAGATTGCAAAACATCACCCATCGATTCAAACGTCAGTGTTTTACACTAAACCCCTTGGGTCAGGAGAGCCAATTATTGTACAACGGGAAGATTAAAATTGAGTTAGATAATCACTCTCTACGTCGTTTTTTTAAAATTAATCTACTGCTGTGACAGATCAAAAGCAAGAAGAGAAAAATATAAAATAGAGTCCATGGACTATTCAGCCGCTGGGACCCGATCCAATGGTCCACGAATTCCAACTTCTGCAAATTAGCGACATATATAGCTTAACCCCAGTGGATGCGTACTGACGAAGAGTCCCAAAGCAGGACGAAACAGTTTTCCAGTAGTCCCAGGTTTTCCGATGGTTCTTTAATTGATGTCGACTCGTGACTGAACCTGTAACCAATCAAATCCCTGCAAACCAACATTTGAAAAATATCGAAATTCCACGTTACTGAAGTAATTCGTGACACTAATAGACACACATCAGTATATCTACAGAAAAGGGTAGAAAAGAAGATACATCCTGTAACAACTGCTCCACTCTTGCACATTTCTGTTCTTTTCACTGTTTAAGTTCCGAGAAGAACATAGGGTTACAGGCTTGAGGACCTGAAGTTTCAGTCACCACGATATTGTTTTTCATACAGGGTGAGGTTGTTAGCCTCATACCCAATTTCTTCCATTTACCGGGCCTACTACCGGCTAAGTGACATTTTAGAGAGCGTCGCCATGGAGTCGAACTCCGGACGACGCGGGGTGTGGTTGGCGAGCACTCTACCACTGAACCACCGATGCACATTATTGGCCATAATTATTTCTTTAAAGCGTATATACGCACATATGAGCTAGCAATTATGTTGAAATTTCAATTAATTTCTGAAATTAAAATTCAATGATGCAGAAACATAAGTAGATCTCAATATTAACCAAAACGGGAAAAAATAATTACGGTAGAGAAAAACAACCCAAATAAAAGACCAAAATGATCAATAATAGAAGTCACTGAAATAAGGAGACAAATACAGAAGGACATCAATTCATCATAATTTGTACAACTTACTTTTTAGCTCCATTCGGTACACTTCGCATATTTCTATTTGCTTGATTTTGATGTCTTTTCTGTAACAACATGACACCGAATATAATCAGTAGTAAGAGTAGGACACAAAAGCATATTCCAAGTGCTACTGCCCAACTAGTTGGTGATAAAACTTTAAAAGAAAGAAAATGAAAAGCAGAAAAAATAATTTGAATGGTGAAGAAACAGCGCTGAGGGAAATTCAAACAGCATACATTAATTTTACAAACGAAATGAACACGATCCAACCGGATAGACATTTAGCACTTGTCCGTTTTTCTTAAAATGCAAAATTAACAGCCAATTACTATTCCATGCAGTTGGCAATGAGTTACACACGTATTATCTTATGAGGGCTACTGATACTACCTGACTGTTGAAATACCGCTCGGTAGATGGGGTGGGGTACGAACGCATGACCTACTACTGGTTGGCAGTCGAGAGTCTAATGGCTGGAGACTATTAGCCATATGGCTCAAAATTGTTTTCAATGATGCGGATACATTCACTTTTTGTGATCTCTCATACCACTTATGTTACACCATCCTGGGGGATCATTTTACATTTTTAATTACAACTAATTGTCCTCACGACTATATTTAGGTTTTTGACCGCCAACGCCTTTGCCATCTGTTGGGCTTTTGTCACCCAACACTGTTTGTGATAGTTGAGAAAGCATACAGTCAGCCTACATTTTGAGCAGCTTTCACTTTTTACAATACTCAAAGCCTGATAGAATCACATTCCTTGCATCTATCAGTGGAAATGAAGCTGCTGCTTTAAGCGATCAGCCCTAATCATTATTTCTACAGAAAACTGCCTGTTATTCAAGACTTCCACAAGATTAGTATTATTATTAAACTCAAATGTGTTTATTTATCTTTTCCCTGAATATAAATTTCATGTTCTCATTAAAAAGCTGAACACTCAGAAGATTCACAACTGCTTATCTTTCACATCCATTCACAATTGTGACAGAACTTGCACGGATATTAGTGAGATGCATACAAGTGTTCCAGAAGTTGTAATCTTTCATCAATCTTCTGTATTAAGAAATTATAACTATGTGAGGTCTGGTTAAGTTAACTACTTGACACTGAAGTCGAAATCACTGGTCGAAGATCGCGTGAGAGGAAAGTGAAGAGGCTCAGGTGCGTAACGACCACATAATACACCTTAAGTACTCACAAGTATTTGTCAAGACACTTAGTGACATTGAGCCAAATTGAATAAGGCATCAATATATTGAAGCATCGGTAATAATAATTACATGTCACCGAAACAATCCAAACATTAATCTTTATACGATAGAAAATAAAACACTGTAGAAATACAAAATCTTCATTCTTTTGAGTCCTGAGTGGAATATAGGGTTTCAAGCAGTGAGCTTTGAAGTCCCAGTTGCAGTGGTCCTGTTTTTTACAGGGTGGGTTTACTAGCCTCACACCAAACCCCTTCCCTTTTCTCCACGCTTGCTACCAGCCCTACGTGAGATCTAGGAGTGCGTTGGCGACCGGAAATCAATCTCCGGACCACGTGAGGCATAGTTGGCAAGCATTCTGCCGCTAAACCGCCAACGCACACACGTACAAATAGAAAGTTAAACTTTAATTACCACATAGTCATAGAAAAATCTAGAATCAGGAATAAAATATCAACAGTAGACGTAGAAATTGGAATTTTTTCAATACACTAGTAAACAGAATACACAAAACACCCATCCAGTGATAATAATTCTGCAATTTCCTATCAGTTTGACAATTAATAAAAGGCTAAAATGCAGAAAATGTTAAACGAAACGCAGTACGGGAAAAGGTTTACTTATGCTTTCAAAAAGTGGTGCAGTAGGATGGATAGGTGTAGGAAGGACGAATTAGGAATGTAGCAAAGCCACAGCTCAGCAACGATGAAGATATATGCATACAAGAGTATTGATACTGTTGGTGAAAAATGTGCTGGATTCTAAGGCGAGTAGCTAAATGTTTAAAATCAATTTTAATGTAGGAAATACTATGAAGACAGTATATAAAGTTACTAGAATCAAAACAATACAGTTAGATAGAGCAATTCGGAAGTATGACAATAAATCATTGACTATAATTTCTACACGATAGCCTGAAACGAGATGTTTTAAGGAATACGAGTTTCCCTAATTACTTAGTAATCACGTCATGTGAAAGTGAATAGCTTGGAAATTCCATACTCTATATAATGCGTGACATCAACTTCAGAAGTGCATCTGCGCTGAGCAGTTATGCTATTTCTCACGCATGTTTCATCGGTTTTTGTCCATTCTTAAATAAGTAAGAAGAAAACATGCACATCATGTATCACTGTGCACTATATCAAAACAAAATTACCTAGTGTGGAATTATATTCTACCACAGTGAAAAACTTTTCACTTATCTAGACAGCATAGTGTCAACTACAGGTGATAGGACGGATGAGGATGTCAAATCCAGGCAGGATCGGAAAGCCAAAACGAAGATAAGACTTCATCAATCTGAAATTTGTGGAAATCTGCTGCCATCAGAATTAAGAACAAGATTCGGATTTTTAACATTTATGTAAAATCAGGCAGTGCTTAAAAGCACTGCGTCAGAGACTTGGCGCATCACCAGCAAGCTACCAAAGACTCTTGTCAACATGTCTTTGCTGGATACTAAAGATCAGATGTGCAGATAGAAACAATTAGCAACAAGAAACTCTGGCAACTAACCAACCAAGAATCCATCACTCGACAAATAAAAACGAAGGAATTGGAGATGCATCGACACACTCCAAGGAGACCATTGGGTGACATCTCGCACCAGATAGATCCTCAAGTGGAAATCGAAGAGTTGGGCGTGCGTCCGAAGGGAATATGGAGGAGATATTGTGAGAGGAAAATGAAAGCCTATGGGCGATCATGTAGTCAGCTAAAAAGGACTGCAGAGAACAGAATGATATGGGGGTGTGCTGCTGAAATCCTATATATGCAATAATACAGTGTCCAAATTGCGCTCCTGCATCAATGCACCGATAGACGCGGTTAAAATATTACAAATACCAGTGTATTATTATCATTATTAGCCAGCTAGCTAAACTTTAAGCATACTAAAAACCAGGAATTCACAATTCTACGGATTAAAGTTTTTGCACTGTAACGTGACCACATAATACAGGTTTACGTACAATAAGCTGAGAATGAATCTCGTTGCTTGACAGAGAGTCGAAGCAAGCAGATGACGGTTCGAACCTGAGATTCTACTCGATGTAACTATACATCTATGAAGCATATACTGGAATTTCAGCCTTATACATAATATCTGACACAAAGATGAGTAAGTGTAAAATGTTAATTTTATTGATATTAGATAAATATTGTTGCAAGTGCTACTGATAAGATAAGTGTTTTTGAATTATAAAGAAGAGATATAACAAGACAGGTAATGAACACAATTAGAGTAACAAAATGGTCAAAACTATTATTATGAAAGGAACATAACCAAGTAGACTAACAAATTAACGGATAATGAATCCATTTTTTCTACCATGATTTGGTTGGATTCAATTCTACAACAATATGATGTTTAGTGTACTTCAGTTTTCAGAAAATCCCCTAGAACATTGATTATACGCTACATATTTGTTGAAATTACTATTACTTTGAAATTTCCCCTTGATTAATTTTAGGCATGTTGATGATACTTATGATGTCAAGTGGGCTCAAGAACATTAACAAGCAATAACTATTCTCGGTTTATCTAAATCTATTATAAAAGGTCACTGAATTCAAGGATAAAAGCCAATTCACTAGTACAAGATCATAAAACAAAGTGTAACGCACTAGTTTGCTAGGCAGATAAATAGATCATAAGTTAATCATGTAGCCTAGTGGCAAACTTTCTCATTTCATTACTGAAGGATACAGATTCGAAGTTCAGGTAGTCCATGAACTTCTACCTGATAAGCACAAAATGCAGACTGAAAAATATTACTTACCAAACGTCATCAATAACCTATATTACAATACGCCATTATATCCTGTGACACTCTGTTTGTAAAAAAATTGTTATATGGAACACAACTTAGGAGTAGACACTTACATTCCTTACCAATTTTACGAGCAACAAACTCTTTCCATGATTTTTATATCATACATATTGTAATTTATTTCAGTTTTAGTTGTTATGTTATAGAAATATTTCCACTTAACAAAGCTAGTGAACATGTAGAAACGGAGATTATTAACATTAATGTGCAGTGACCTAAAATACTATGCATCAACCTTACAACACACACACACGCACACATGGTACAAAAGGCTTTAAGGGGATATTTTAGAAGTGAATATTTCTGCATCATTATGGTTGAATTTAAGTTACATAAATGAATTTATTCACGTATTGATCAGCAGGTAATTGGTTGATTTCACGACTAATCATGAAATGACTTCAGTGCTGGACAGCTATTTTCTTCCTACAATGCAACACTTGAAAATTAATCTACTGCTCACTAATGACTGACTACAGGATGAAGTTAATTGAATTTCTAGTGGAAACTAGTGACCAGTGAGATCCATCAAGTTGGGTGTGAAGACAAATTCTCGCCGATCACATTGGCTGGCCATCGCGCTATATATCGCGAGTTCGCAGAAAGTAGAACTGATGTGCCATTGAGAGCGGAAGACATGAAAAGATTAGCTGTCTTTGATCATAGGTGTCTGCGTTCTATCTCCCGTGTGAAGTGGTATAATAAGGTGAGCAATATTGAGGTTAGGCGTCGAGTGCTAGGTAAGGAGGGGAAATCAGTCGACGAGGCTGTGAAATTACATCGACTGAGATGGTTAGGACGTGTTACGTATGCCTAGTCATCGCCTTCCTCGACGGGCAATGTTAGCTGATATAGGGCCAGGCTGGAAAAGAGCTAGCGGCGGTCAAACGAAAACATGGCACCAGTCAATGAAATCTACAACAGTTAGTCTAAGCCACGTAGGAAGGTGTAGACTGCCAGTCTGGTTGGGGTCCTCGGGACGGTAAAAACCAATGGTTGGAAACAATTGGTGACATAGCTCAAAATCGTTCTCAGTGGCGCAGATGCATCCACTCCTTGTGACTTATGATTTCCAATTAGACTGTTTTGTCCTTCGTT